TTCTTTCACCGACTTCCACCTCCTTCGTCCAATGTTTGCCTCAGCCGCATAGGAAGAACGGTAGCCAACTAGTTGGTGCTCTCCCGGACGCCTACATATCCATGCTTGGTCGAACTGGGCCTCTCATCGTCAGCAGCCATCAGCAACTTGACCTGGCAGATCATGGCGGGCACAGAACAAGAACAAGGTCGTCAACAACCCCTGAAGATCGTCCTGCTTTCACATGGTGTTGTCTAATCTCGCAATTCGCAATGATAAAACCCCGTCAGACACTTCTGGGTCCACATTTGTCTCCTTCGCCCCACCGCGCTCTAGATGAGTTTCGCCAAGGAGGCCTGGCAAATGTGCGTACTCATTCATGCACATCGCTACCCTCGCGTTCACATCTACGGCGATAGAACGATCCAGAATGAAGTCCACCTCGTCGGGTTCGGTAGGCGATTGGTCCCTACTCCAAAAAACCCCACTCTGACTCCCAATTCCCAAGCCTTCTTGGTGTATGACCATATTATAACATTAGGTATCCAACACGGCCGCATTATCGGTTCTCGGTGCTGAGTATAGCTCCCCCGGTACGCAGATACGGAGATTCGCTGTCTTTGGAACCGCCGCAAATTCGCCAGCGCATATTCGTTCTTTTTTATTCGATACTTTGGATTGGCCAGCAATATCCCGGCGGCGGCGTTCCAATTTCTTACCCTATCCCCCCTCGTGAGCACTTCCTCTGTTTACCGCCTTCGGCGAGCGTAGTCGAGCTGACCTTCGCAGGGGTACGTTCAGGAAGGCTTATCATTCCCTCAGCAACACCTTACCCCGAGTCATGTAGCTGCCAGCAATGGAGCGTCGGCTACTCCTACATCATCCTCTTCATACAATGGGTCATTTGTAGTGCGCCCAATTCACTCACTCCGGCACTCTAAACACGCTAACAGATGGGAAGTTGTCCTTGGTCTGCGGATGTACGCGCTGTACAACCGCAGCAGACGGATACTCTGGCTCGTGGGCGTAGTTTCGGTCCTGTTGATGGGATTCTCGGTGGTGCGTTCGGTCGAGCTGTCTTTACCTTCAATGCAGTGTTTGACGCGAGAAAAAGTGGACGACGCAGGGGCAGCAGGGGTCGTTGATGACGGGTACGTGTGGTTGAACACCAACGTTCTCTGAAGGCATCTCAAGCTTGGTTCAGTTCTTCCGGGCTGCCATCCTCGTCTCGCCCCATCGACGTAAGTCTCCATTCTCCAGCATGGTAAGCACCGTCTGACTGAATTCTCCTCCCAGCGCCCATCGTACGTTCCCTCGAAACACTTCCTTCGTTCGTGTACTGAAGGACTGTGTCAAGGCTTTGCCCTCTCCTGGGCCGTCCTGTACGCATTCGACACTCTCATCTTCGGGTTAACCCTCTACCACGGAATTTCCATGCGCCGCAAGCTGGGGAGCCATTCGCCGATGGCGCTGCATCAGATTATACTCCGTGATGGTTCGTTCTCTCTGCGCTCCTCCGCTTGAATCACCAATCAATCATTTTGCTGTATAGGAATCCTGTATTTTGGGTGCGTCAAAACATGCAAACCTCCGCCCGCAGGAAGCAGCTTAAATCTTCATCGCTGACAGAGTATTGGTCCTATCAAACCTGGCGAACGTGCTGACCCTAGTCGTAAGTGATTCCCCGCCTGTTCAACATCGTTCCATCGCTGACACTCGGTGTAGGGCAACGATGATTCGGTGCGCCCTCCCCCTTCTTATACTCAGCTCCCCCGCCAACAAGGCCGCCCCACAGCCAATCCTCCCCGGTACCTTCGCGACGCTGGGAAACTGGTAAGTCTGTTCAACTCTATTTCTTCCCTTGTCTTGTCTTCGTTTGGCTGAATCGCACCTGAATTAAGCATCTCGATAACAATGATGTCGAGGATGATGCTCAACTTGCACGCGCAGGCGGACCAGGGGATCATGAAGGTTCAGTCGGACTCGGGGTTCTTCGCGGAGGTTCCGTCGGCGATTCCGTTGCGGGCGTACCCGCCGAGTAGCGCGGCTTACCCGTACGCGATGGGGAGTCGGGTTTAGCGGTTATGTGTGCTCGACGCTTCGGAGACGTTTTGTCGGGCGTGGGTGTATAATTTGGGGCGTAATTCTACGTGCTGGCGCGTATGGATCGAGTATTATATTGCCAGTGTAATGATAGTTACTACCCGAGCATCTCGGCGCTTTCAATTGGTCAAAAGCAGCTGGGCATGTGTTGGGAACTCTAGCTCCCCGACCATAGGGCCAAACAGCCAATAAACCAAATCCAAATCCCTACACACATATCATATGTGCATCAGAAGGCGGGGAGCACTCAGCGAAAATGAAACAGCACTGACTGAGGTTGCTCCGGTACGCTGAAGTCATCGTTCAGAACTTCTTCTTCCATCGGCCCGCTGAGGATTGATATTGTTGAGTATCAAGTATCACTTCAAGTAAACAACACGAACGTATAAAATGGATCCTGGGGACGGGCGACAGGGTTAGTCTCTTCCAATATATGTTGCAACAATAGAAACTCGTACCTCAAGGAATGAATCATAGGCGCTGCCATCCAAGCCACTACTGAAGGACACCAAGTAGTCTTCACTAAGCTTCGCCTGGTTGAGATTCCCGTGGGTACCCTGCCCGACGCCGATTGACTCCGTCGACTCGTCGGAGTTGCTGTCTTCATGGTAAGTCTACGGGTACATACACCCGTGGAGGAAGAAGAGGCGCACGACGTGTTAGAGCCGCTATCCCCGCGTGCAACCACGAGGAGGCCCTGGGACTGGAACTCAGTCGACGTCGACCTGTGAAAATTTCGATTATCAGTTGAGATGCGGGAGTTGTTCCGAAACAAAACTGACTGATCAAGCTGCGAGGCAGAGTCCTCCTGGTCTGGTTTGGTCGCACGAAGGAGATTCAGATAATTCTGCATCATGCTGCGGGTGGAGTCGACTGCCTTTGGTTTGCTGTCGGATGTATTGGGGTTAATCGGCGCGTCGCTCATGTTCTGCAAAATATGAGCGACGGTCTTGAGATTCTTGGCAGACGTACCGGCGGCTGATTCATTCTGTTTGATGTTGGACTGCAGCTGGCTAGGGGGAGAGAAAACTCGTAGAAGAGGGGAGTCGGGGAGGAGCCGAGGGGATGACTGGGAAGCCGGTTCTTTTATACATTTACGCTCGGCTACACGCTTAGGGCTCCAGAACCATCTCAAGGAGAGAACAAGGTCTCGAGGTCTTGAACAAGGTTGTCAAGTTCAAAAGTAGGGTCATCAATGATCGTTTGAACCGAGTGAATACAAGGACACCGAGGCTCGCCAAAATCGAACGACCGCAAATCAGGCCATGGTTAGCATGTTTGGGGTGATATTTGAAACAGAGATGCTCACCTAAGTACGCCACACCTTTTTTTGTTTTTGGGAGACCAAGTTGAACTTGTCGGAGTTCCAATAGTATTTCGTGATGCGCCGATCTGTGATTGCTGACATGGCGTTTAACAGCCTTCATTCTGCCCTTCATCTCCAATGGCTGCGCGAACGGATCCCAGACTCCCCCAGGACCTCGAGCGCACAATCTTCGAACTACTGGCTCGCTCCGAGCCCAGCCACGCCCCACCGCTGTTGCGTGTAGCTTGGCGGGTGAAGCACTGGTACGTCGCACATACAGTTGTATCTGGAGCTCGTTGACTCACCAGATATTCCAGGATCGAGCCACTCTTGTATCGTATACTCATCGTTACCGCGACCAGGGTAATGTGGGACGGTATCCCACCCATCCGCGCAACCACTCTCCTCGACCGAATCGCATCAAAACCCGCAGCATTCTTCGCCTCCTCAGTCCGCCATCTATTCCTGCTGAATCCAGCCATGGGCTCGATGGACTCCTTCGCAGTGAACACCATCCTCCGCGCCTGCACCGGGATTACAACCCTTTCCAGCGGACACATCAAGGACCCGGCGCAGCTCGCCGCGCTGGCGACGCTGGACGGACTGCAGATCCTCACAGCGAGTCTGGACTGGATAGAGTGGAGGGACGTCCGATCGAGCCTGGCGCACCCCGCGTTCCGCAACATCACGCACCTCGAGCTCCCCCCGAACCACGGGAGTTTCGCCGAGCACCTGAGCCTCCTCCCCCGCCTCACGCACCTCGCGTTCCACGACGCCCCCGTGCTCAACTTCCTCCCCGTTCTCCTGGCCATGGGTGAAGGCGTACAACTGCGGTGTGTGGTGTACCTGCTGTGGCGGGGTGGGGCCGCGGCGTGGGCCGCGAAGGGGTATCTCGACACGCTGTTGGGCGACGAGCGCTGTGTTGCGGTCGAGTTGCCTAGAGGGGGGACGACGACGCGGTCTTTGATTCGCGGCGCGGCTGTCGGGGACGATTATTGGGGGCGTGCTGAAAGACTTATCGCTGCGAGGCGGGCGGGGACGGTGGACCGTGCGTGTTTTCGCATTTTATTTGGTTGGTCCTGGCTTATGGATTGTTTAGGTTCGCAGATTCTTTGTCTTGAGTTGGAATTGGATGAGACGGTATGATCGTCCAATGACGGTCGTGAATGCAATTTGTTTAATAGGTAGCGCTCTGTCCCTTCCTCCCTAGGCTGTCTTGTCGGGTTCATTCTCACCCGAAATTTACATGCGAGGCTACGACGCTGAGCATAGGTTTAACACATCTGGAGTACGGCTCTCCGAGCTGTCTCTATACCGTCCCTATACCGTCCCTTTCAACCTTAGGCCCTCCATCTCGACGCACTGGGAATTTTTTTCGGCCATGTATAATCCATTAAAATCCTGCATGGGGTGAACCAATGGCACAACGTTAGTGCGCCTGTCATTTTTATTTTGTTCGCGGTTGAGACGGTTCAATTTCTGGTTCCCACTTCCCGCCCTGAGATCTTCACACTTATATTGTGCTCCGCCGCCTTTAATTGTTTCCAGCTGGGCCAACTTTACTTACTTCTCACGCATGGCTCATTCAGGTTTGAAGCACTCTGCAGATCGCGAACCAATAGCACAATGTCAGTGCGCCCGCATGAATTCGACAGCTTCTCGAAGTCATTCAGCGGTTGATCCCCGTTCGATTCGGGGTTGGGTCATCCATATACTGGCGGATCGCCCGTTGATCGCCCGATTTTATTTATTTTGTAGGCACATCTCCATCGTTCATGTGGTTCAAATCCGCCTGCCGTCCCTCCTTTCTGGGGCCTTCACAATTATCCCGTTCTCCGTTAGCTAGCGCTCGTTTCCAACTTGGCCAACTCTACATACTGTTCATGCATGGTTCATTCAGGTTCAAAGTATCCTCCAGAGTGAACCAATAGCACAATGTCAGTGCGCCTGTTTAACGTGCCAGCGTCTCCTCACGGTTAGCAGGATATCCCTGTTCGATTCGGGGTTGGTTCATTCGCTGTCGCATACAGTCTTCCTTATTTTAGCTGCGTTCCCACCGGTCCGATGTGGTTCAATTGCTCCTGCCCACTTCCTTCCCTGAGCTCTTACCCTTGATTCGTTCTTTGCTCCCTTGTTTTCAACTTGGCGACCGTACTTACTGTTATATGTACTTCTGAAATATTCTCAATGTGGATTTTCAACCCACCATCTCGCCCCACGAAGGTAATTCGGGGGAAACTGTGGAACCATATGTACCTCAGATGCGAACCGATAGCACAATGCCAGTGCCCCTGCTCAGCTTGGTGAGGTATCCGATGGCGGTTAGCAGGAGATCCCTGTTCAATTCGGGGTTTTTTTTTTTTTTTTTTTTTAACTCATTGTTATTTGCCCCTCGCCGCATGCGGCATGGTGGGCATACTACTACACATTTTTTTTTTTTTTTGTAACTAGCTGGACTAAATTATCTATGTTGTGAACGGGGAATCATCGAAATACTGCTCAGACGACCGACGTTGGGTCGAACGAGCGCGCGCCTGTGGGCGCATTAAGCAAAACCCCGTGGGCCCGAAGATCTGGGGTAAGTGGGCGTGGGGATAAGGTAGGTGTATAGGCCCCCGAAGGGTGGGCGCTGGTGAGTAGAGTAGATGGGTGGGTGTGCGGAAGCGGGTCTAGGACGGGGCGTGAGCGGCGGTGCGGGGGGAGGCGGCGAAGGGATCGGCAGTGCGGGGGATGGTCTCTGGGAGGGTGAGTTTGTTGAGGAATGCTATGAATTCGTTGCGGGTGGGTTGGTCGTGCGCGGGGGGGGTGGGGAGGACTCCGTGGACGGTGTGGAAGCGGCCCGTGCGGCGGAGGAATTGGAAGAGAGGGGGGAACAAATCCGTCGCTGACAGCAGCTTGGTTAATACGCGTGTGCGAGGGCCGCCGGCTGCAAAGAGCTCGCGGCGGGCGTCGGCGTGTGCTGGACAGCGCAGGAGGAGATGTTCGACCGTTTCGTCGAATTGGCGGCAGGAGGGGCATAGCGGGGACTCGGCTTTATTGATTCTGTGAAGGTGTTTTGCGAGGGGGATGTGGCCAGTGCGTAGCTGGAGGAGGAGTACTGCGAGGCTGCGGGGCAGGCGATCAGCGGTGTCGAGGTAAGATCCCCGCAGAAGCTTCTTGTCGTAGCGGTTTAGACGAGCGAAGCGCGGGGATTTGGACCAGTCGCGGGCTACCGTGGCTTTGAGGTCCGCCATGTAACGCTGGCGGATGGCCGACTTGCTCCAAGGAAGGACACCGCGGAAGACGGTGGGAATGTCGCGCTCGGGTGATGATCCGATTTGTGCCGCCTTCCTTGCCTCTTCATCCGCGCGCTCGTTTCCTGGAATCCCTACGTGCCCCGGGGCCCATCTCACTGTCACTACCGCGTCCGGGTGTTTCGCCGCAAAAGCTCGCTGCCGACTGTGCAGCGCGTCCCAGATCCAGTGCGACGGGTTCGACGCCGTTGCCCGCACCGCGTTAACAGCCGGCTGACTGTCGACCACAATCGACACAGCACCCCTCACCTCTGGCTGCTTCTTGAGCAGGGCCAGCGCGAGGCTAGTCCCCACCCCTTCGCCCTCGAAGACGGTGTGGTGTTCCGCGCCGCCGAGGCGTAAACGCAGAGACGCCACCTCGACTCGATTGCGATACAAGACCGCCGACGCACCAATGCGTCGATCTATACCCGACCCGTCCGTATACGCCATCCACTCGGCCTTGTCCTCCATGTCCTTCACCACCGCTTCCTTCTTCGAGCTCGGTATCTCAACCGCCATACCCGATTTCCACTTTGTCGATACCCTTACCGCCTCGATCTCCTCCATCCGTTTCGGCTCCAAATCGAAGTCCATCATCAAGTCATGCAACGGCGTTGCGTGTACCATCCTCCGGGGGCGCGCGGCGTCTCTGACAGCGTTGTACAGCGGATGTGGAGGGGCAAGGGTCGCGAGGCGCGCTGCCGCTCCGAATCTCACCTTGTCAATGAGGTGTGCCACGGGGAGAAGGTTCGCATGGGCGTCTAAAACGTCAGTGGGAGTGGAGCTGAGGGCCCCGGTCATTGCGAGAGCGGCGCGGCGCTGGATGGTGCGTAACTTCTTCACTATTCCACGTTCCTGTGTTTTCTTACCCAGAAGGAAGGCCCTCCTATTCCCCGGGGGAGGAGATAGGAAGACATCGGCGCCGTATAGCATCCGCGGAACGCAGACGGCGAGGTAGAGGCGTCGCATGTCGCGAGCACCGATTCCTCGTGATGCGCGCGCGATGCGCGCAACCTGATACAACCAGGCATGCCCCTTTGCCAACACCGCGGCTTCCTGCGGGTGCCAGCGCAGCTCCCGGTCAAGGTGGAGTCCCAGCAACTTGACGGTGTGCGCTGACTTGATGACGTGCGGGCCGAGTCGTAAGGCGAAGCGCGGGATTGGGACTGACTTTGACATGGTCCAGTGGGGGACACGCTGTCGCGATGCGTCCAATAGCTGGTACTTCGCTGGGCCGAATAGCGCGTTGTGATCGGCGCCCCATTGGTCTACACCGTTGGGGCGCTGGATTATGTCGCGGAGTTTGCGGTGGGTGTTCTTGAAGGTGGGCCCGACTGTGATCAATGTATTGTCGTCTACGAATACGACACCTTCCTCTTGTTTCCTTGCACGTGGGATTTTCGCAAGGTCAGCGTTGTATATGCCGTAGGCGAAGCCCGAGTGGGGGTCGCCCTGGTCCAAGCCGCCGAAGATTCTGAAGACGGCCGATAGGAAGTCGCCGAAGGACAGACGGCCTGTACGGTTCGCGAAGCGGCGCCGCAACCAGTCCGTGTGCCTCTTGGGAACCCCGCACATGCGCATATCGTGGATGAGGCGCTCCAAATCTACGCTCGGGTATGCGCCCTTGACGTCCATGCATAGGATGCTGGCGACCTCGCCGTTTCGCCACGCGTCCTTGACGATTTTGACTACCTTGTGCAGGGCGTCAGTGGTCGATCTGCCCGGTCGCGCTCCGTATTGGTTTCTGGGCAAGATGCCCGCCAACTCTGCTTCCGCAACGCACTGCAGCGTTTTGGCTGCGTACCACAAGCGAGGGAGACCCTTCGTCAACGCGATGGGGCGATGAGCAGCAGGGTTAGCGTAGTCAGGCTTTCCCGGTTTACGGAGCACGACGACGCGCAGCTCAGCCCAGTCTGCAGGGTAATGCTCGAGGTCGTCGAGGGAGCGGTAAATTGGCCCTAGGAATGGGACGAGGAGGTTAGTGCATTCCAAGAAGACACAGTTGGGGGTGGAGTCGGGGAACGTCGCCTTGTAGGGCTTCATCCTGCCTATCGCTCGGCGCAGGAGGTCGTCTGAGACGGGTTCCCATTCCCACGCCGGCGGGGGATACTCCGTGTGTTCAGGGACTGATGATTCCGCCATCGGGGCGGGGAAGAACTCGCCGCGGAGCCAGCTGCTCTTGTCCTCGTTGGTGATCGCCGTGTCGATGACTTTTTTGGTGGTTGCATGGCGTTTTTCGAGGGTGGGGATTCGCGAGGCGCCGCCGTCTGAGGGCTCGGCTGACAGAAACTTGTTAGCAACCCACAGGGAGCCATCCCCTAGTTTTGTCAGCCAATCCACCCAGTGTGCCGCCTTCGCGACATTCACCGCGTTGCAATACTCGCCCTGAGCCGCCTTTGCTTCGGCGTGGATCGGGTTGCCCGGGTCGTGGCGCAGGCGGTACGCGATGCGCTCCACCTTTGCACTCGCCTTCTTTAAAACTCTGAGTTCGGGGGAGTACCAGCGTTTCATGTGGGGGAAGGGTTTGGTCATGGGTACGATGGCCTGGATGGTGGCGCGTATCGCGGCTTCGAGTTGTGAGATGGCGGCCTCGACGTCACCGATCGTGTCGTAGGCGTCGCGTCGGTCTATTCCGGTCAGCTGTCCCAGGAGATGCTCACGGAAGTCGCTCCAAATGGTCTCTCGGAAGTTGGGTTTCGGCTGAAAGACTTCAGCTGCGATGGTGACATCCAATTCGAAGATTATCGGGAAGTGATCTGTCTTGACCGGGAGGAGGGCGGGTGCCGTGTCGCATTTGACGAAGAGGGGGAGGAGAGACGCAGAGCAGAAGACATTGTCCGGTCGCGTGAAGTTGTGCGTCGGGCCGTGGGCGCGGAGGGTCGGGATGTCACGGGGCAAGGCCATTAGCATAGAGTGCATGGAGACTAGGGTTAGAAGGGGGTGAGCCATGTCCAGGTTGTGTACCGTGAAAAGATGGTGATTGCGGAGTTCGTCCCAGTCGGGATGGTGTCTGTTAAAGTCTCCGCCCCATATGTAGCGGAGTGGGAAGACGGCGCAAAGCGCTGCTTCCGGGCTGCGTAGATATATGCGAAGCACATCAAGGGTTTCGTTGTGGTCCCCGTCGTTGTAAATGTTGATGATGCGGATTGTACCGAAGTCGCCCATTACGTCGATAGCTGTTATGTCAGAGGATGGAATGGATACAGGCATCCAAGAGGAGGAAGGGAGGCGGGTGTTAACAAATATGGCTGACCGAGTGGCGGCCTGTCGTTGTGCGTGAGTAGTGGGGTAGACCGATACAAAGGAGCGCTTGGCGCGCGAGACGCCGCGTTTGTCTATGTGTGGTTCTTGCACCAGCGCGATGTCGTAGAAGTTGGGGTTGAGAGAGTTCATGAAGTCGTTCTGCGAGTCGAGGGATTTGTTGAGATTTTGCTGCCAGCATCGTATCTTCAACAAGGTAATGCGGGGGAGCGGCTCCGCCATTAGTTAGCCGTTCGTCCACCCATCTGTGGGGGGAGGTCAATGGTGTTGGAAAGAATGTCGCTGTCGTCGTTGCGCAGAGCGGGGATGGGTTGAGGAGGAGAGCGTGGTCGATCTGGGGGGCCGAGGTCCGCGAAGGTGACCTCTTTTCTGGTGGCCTTGATAGCAGCTGTGGCGATGGCTGCCTTCTTCCTCCGTTGCTGGCCCTCTATCATCTTCTGTCGCGCGGCTCGCGTTTCTTCGTCATCCTCCTCGTCG